TGTTTGGCAGTGTGCTGTTTGTGTCCTCCTCCTCTTCACGTGGCACTGTCTCCCCTCAGTCTTCACCTCTTGGGCTAGACAGCACTCCCCGGAGAAGCCTGCCCCGAGCACCGGAACTGCGGTCCTCCTCCCCCCCTGCCCCACAGCACCTTGCCTGCTCACCTCATGGCACAGATCACAGTGTGCAGCTGGAGGTGTCTTCGCCTGCGTGTGTACTTTGTTTTACACGGTTGCTTCCACCTCACCAGCTCAGGGACCCTCTGGCTTTTTTCTTTCTACTGTATCCCCCATAACACATGGTACCTAATTGGTACTTAGTAGGTTCTTGGTAAATATTGAATTAATAAGTGAATCAGTCATTAAGTGTTAGCACTACTTTAAATTCAAGGATGAGAACCCTTTTTTTTTAATAACTTTTCAGAAACTCTGAGCAAGACATACAAATTAATTTTTACATCATCTGTTTTTTTAAAGATTTTATTTATTTATCTTTAGAGGGGAAGGGAAGGAGAGAAATACCAATGTATGGTTGCCTCTCGTGAGTCCCCTGCTGGGAACTGGCCTGCAACCCAGGCATGTGCCCTGACTGGGAATCGAACCGCGATCGTGTGGTTCACAGGCCCATGCTCAATCCACTGAGCTACATCAGCCAGGGCTGAGCCCTTACTTTTTAAAAATTTTCTATTTATGTGTTATAAAGTGCCATATATTTTATGATGAAAATCTTATTGGTCATAGTCTTAGACTTGCTTAGGGAAAGTTGCTCAAGCTTCAACTCTAATTATCTATCAAGAGACCTCCATTCTTTTCAGGAATGGTGGTATTTGCTGGCTGTCCGCACTCCCTTAACTCCCGAAGCATTTGGTCCTGTTTCAGCCTGTCCGACACCATCAGACTTACCTCTCAGGGGGCGGGAGCTTTGGTCTCTAGGGTGAGTGTTCACAGTGAGGGTGTGGGGGGAGGGGGAGGTGGGGGCGCAAAACGATCCAAGGGTTTGGGAAGAAAATATGAGAACTTCTGCTTACGTACTTCTATCTACACATAAGAAAAAATCATCTTTATAAATCTTTAAGTATGCTTTGACAGTAGTTCACATATAAACTTGTATATTAACATACATACATTGGGGGTACGTGTTCAAAATTTTTTTTGCCAACAGGGGTTCTCAATTTAAAAAGTGTGGAAGCCACTAGATGAGAACATCCTGTTAATGTAAGATTTTTGAAGGCAAGGATCACGGCTAATACTGTTTTGCATTCCTCACTGGGCCTTGTACAGTGATTAAAAGATACAAACAGGCGATTGATAGTTATTTGCTTGATCAGTGAGGTCAAAGATCACAGGTGCTGCTTCATTCAGGACTACAAACTTTTCACTGGAAACATGAGTCCCACAGGCTGTATGTCTGGGTTGCCTCGGGTTCACCACCACGTCGCCTTATAAACACGTACGATCAGCTTGAGGAAAACTGCTCACAGCAGAACTTCCATTGACAGTGGGCCAGTAGAATTACCTTGTATGTGAAGGGCAGAACATTCCACCTTTACCATAAGCTTTCCCCTCAGGGTTCCATGAATCAGAGAAACCCTCTCTGCTCCCTGGTTGAAGCATAAACCCATGTAAGTTGGTAAAAGCAATATTGGAGGGTCACAGAAACAGCCTATTTGTTTGTGATAGAACCTTATACACTTTGCTTACATACTTCCAGTCGTGTGGAACTCACTGCCTCTTTTTTAAAAAAAAAATATTTTATTTATTTATTTTTAGAGAGAGGGGAAGGGAAGGAGAAAGAGTGGGAGAGAAACATCCATGTGTGGTTGCCTCTCATGTGTCCCCTATTGGGGACCTGGCCTGCAACCTTGGCATGTGCCCTGACTGGGAATTGAGCTGGTGACACTTTGCTTCACAGGCCCGTGCTCAATCCACTGAGCTACACCAGCCTGGGCTCTCACTGCTTCTTTGGAATGACTCTGTTCCTCATATTGACTTGAAGTCTGCTCTTTCATAACTTCTGTCCATGGCTCTTGACGCTTCCTTCCCAGCCCCCAAACAAGTCCAACCCTTCACTGCATGAATGCTTCCCAGGAACTAAGGGAGAGCTTCCGGGCCTCTGATAGGTTTTTCTGCTGCAGGGGAGACATCCTTAAGCTTTCCAAGCTTCTTCAATATCCCCTCGTGTTTAAGTCACAGCACATCCTAGTTAAACAACCTGCGAAAGGAGGTCCAATTGGTCAGTCTTGTGTGGAGCGCGGTGCCGAGGTCTGTCTGTAAGCATCAGGACTGGGCCCAGCGAGGGCAGGCCAGGCCTCCCTCCTTGCTCTAAACACTGAGTCTCCAGCAGGTGGGTGAGCATTACGCTGCAGACGCACACTGGGCTTGTAGACTAGGAAATCCCCTCTCTCCTCACCATAAACAAAAGGGAATAATGGATCTTTTTGCCACTTTCTTTTTCCAAACCAAAATTTAAAATTTTCATGGTGCTGTGGGCTGTAGACAGGGAAATGCTGCAAAGGTGGGGCACCAGCTATTTGCAGCCCTGTGCTCACTTGATTCTCATCAATAAGCTGTCAGACTGACCTGTTTGGAGCCGGCCCGGACTTTTTTCCTTTGCATTCTTCTCTTTTCTCTTAACATTATCTTACATGTACATTTGGAGATATCAACAGACTCTGTAAACTTCATTCCTTTTAATAGCAACATAACATTCCATTGTCTTAATGTACCATGGTTTACATAACCTTTTCCCAATTTGGGCATTGGGTCACGTCCCATTTTTCCACTGTTATGAATGATGTTACCATAAACATCTTTGTGCTATTTGCTTTCTTTTCTTTCTTGCATGTTTCCTTGGGGTATAGTCCAACAATGGGATGACTGGGTCAAAGTGTGTGAACACTTTTATTACTCTTTTTATATGTTGCCAGACCGATCTCCAGAGGGGTGAACGCTTTTTGAAAAGTGCCAAATAAGACGATGGGGCCTGGAGAAGTGGTGGCTTAACTGGAAAAGTTTGGCTGGTGTGTTGCATCAGATTCCCTCCAGTTGTCTACCGTGATCTAAATGTGTGAGAGGGTGGGGGTGGGGGGTGCGTAGGAAGAACCAGTGAACCCCCACCCTCAGCAAACCCTTCTGCTTTACCCAGAAGTGTGTCTTGCTTCTTTTCTATGAGAGGACTTTTATCTCTTGAAAGGAGGTTGCACAGTCTCATCTGAGTTGTAACCCCAGTTTTGCCACCCCCTTGCTGTGTGCCCTTAGACAAGTCACCTAACCTCTCTGAGTCTCTTTCCTCATCTGTACATGAGGCTAAATGACAGTCCCTCCTCAGAGGGTTTTGAGAAGATATTTTCAAAGCGCTGGGATTCCGTTATTACCTACAACCCGCCGAGTGGGAAGGGACCGTGTGTTTCTTCCTTCTCCCTCGCACTGCCAGGGTCCAGCTCTGTGCTTGACCTGTGGTTAAGGACAGTACACGTCTATTGTGGGATGCGTGGGTTCTTTGTATCCACGATCTTGTTTTACAGTGTTTAGCAGCTGGAAAAATATAAGAGAAGGTTATAAAATATAATTTATCTTTAACACGAAGAAAGGCCTTCAGTTGAATATTTGTGGGATGTGCCAGGCTTGAGTCCTGTGCTTTGGTTTATTCACCGAGTCTAACCGTTGCTCAGGAAGAGCATCTCCGGTTCTCCAAGACCCCCAGAGGTTAAAGACAAGATGAGCTGGAAGGGTGAGGAGAGAGGTCGGAGAAGGCTCTTTGTCTCCGAGGAAGGGGTGTTTGCAGTACCCCATGTCTCTGAGGGGGATTGGGGGCATGTGTTCAAAGCCTTGCATCCCCCCAGCCTCTTTCCTGCTGGAGAGAAGGAGCCAGAGAGGCCAAAGGATGCTTGTGTGGGTGGCCCACTTTCACTGGAGAGAGATTCCCTCCATTCACCTCAGTCTCTGGTGTTCTCAGTTACTGATGACTACAAATGCTTGCTGTTTCTCCCATTGAGATGTAAAGTCTGATGCCCTTCCCCCAGGGCTCTGGAATTTCTTAAGATTTTGGTTTTTTATTTTTTAGACAAGGGAGAGAGGGATGGGAGAAAAACATCAAAGCGTGGTTGCCGCTGGTGTGCCTCCTACTGGGGACCTGACCCACAAACCAGGCATGTACCCTGACTGGGAATCCAACCAATGACCTTTGATCCACAGGCTGGCACCCAATCCACTGAGCCACACCAGCCAGGGCCATTCTGGAGCTTCTGAGGTGAGGACATAAGCTTTGCCCTTGCCACTTGAGTTTCTTAGTCCACGCCATTTTCTTTGAGCCACCATGTAGGAAGTCAACTACCCTGAGACTTACTTCCAAGCTGTAGAGGTCATATGAACATTCTCTGGTCCGCAGTTCTGGACAAGCCCACCAAGGCTCTGAACACATGAGTGGAGCCATGCTGGACCTTCCAGATGAGGCCTCTGCCAGCTGACCACCATTGGCTGACCTCTCTGGATACCACGTGGGGCAGAAAAACTGTCCTGTTGAACTCTCCTGAATTCCTGACCCGCAAAGTCATCAGATGGAATGTTGTTTTAACCCGCCGCCTTCTGGAGCCATTTATGACACAGCAGCAGATAAGGGAGAGCCAGGGCGACCAGACTGTGCTGAGCCTCAGCTCCGCCTCGAGCCCTCCACTCAGCTCTACTGGGCGGAACCAACTCCAGGATCTGTGACCTCACTTCTCTCTGTCGGGACTGAGTATCAGAGGCTGGGCAGAAGTCCTCGGCCTCCGCCTTTGTACTCAACAGGATTCCTCAAATGTATTTTTGGACTGCAATCTACTATTTATGATCTCTTGTTAAATTTTACAGGCAGATAGGGAAGGGAGAGTTGGCAATGTTTCAGAATCCCAGCTAGATGAAATGTTTCTGTTGTTTTTAAAGAGGAAATGACAAGGCAAAAATCTGCAGCGCTCTTCCCGTTAATCCCGCTGTCCCCGCCCCCACCAGTTCTGCGTAGGGTGACTGTTCTGTGGCAGAGTCTCCAACTCTGAACGAGGACCCAGTTAGAGCACCCAGATATTTAGAGCAACCTGACTTCTTGACTACTCTCATCCTTCTACAGGTAACCCGGGGTGGGGGGGGGGGGCGTTGTTTACCTTTATTTTATTTGAATTTATTCCAAAACTTCAGAAGATTAAAAATGCATCTTCCTTTGCTGATGTTTCCATGTATCTATCACAGGATGACTGTTAGCAGGGCCCAGACATTTGGAGAATCCCAAACAATGAAATGATTGGCAGTTCATTTTCCAGGCTCTCCATGTCATGTCAATTATTAACAAAGAAATGAATCATTAAGGGCATTAACGGACCTGGATAGACTGTCTTGTCGGGGAACATTGTTCCTTACACAATGGAGCTGTTTTAACTTCTGGCCTTCCATCACTTACCTAGCAGCCTTGTCTCTCTCTGTGCTATGTATTTTTTAAATCAATTCTTTGATTTCTAATTATTTCCATGGATTTGTTAGTGACACTAGAGACATCAAAACTAATGCACTACCTTGACCTCCAACTCTTCCAAGCAGATTCTCAATGGTCAATGCTTCTGTACTGATTCATTTTTTCATTTTCATTTATTTCTTTCACCCATGCAATTATTTACTTATTCAATAAGCATTAAATGTGCCAGATACTGTGCTGGGCATGTGGGATGAAAGATGAAGAACACAGGGCTCTGATTCACTGTATAGGAGCTCACTGTACTTAGTAGGAGCTCAGTAAACACTTGCTGGATACATGACCTTTCTCTGACAGGACAAGCTGGGAACTCTGGTGTGTGAAACTGAAGCTCAGAGTAGGTCATGGGCACAAAGCTGGACAATAACAAGGCAAGAAGGAACCAAGGCGTGTCCGACCGTGCATCCTGACCACAGCACTGTACTCCTTCTTCCTCCTGCTCTGTCCTTACTGGTTCTCCCACCGCATTAGCTACATATCGATTCAAAGTCTGAGCCTTCAGAGGTTTGTACTGAAAAAGTCCTCTCCGCTATATCTCCTCACGTCAAGGCAATGCTTATTGGAGGATCCTGTTGCCAATTACAGAGCATTTTCTATTCTGTGATGGAAAGGCAACTGTATTCCAATAAGAACAAAAGATAGCTCAGGAGAAATTTTAGTCCACAAAAGATGCCAAAGCCCCTCTCAGAGGGCAAGGTAAGGCCAGTGCTTATCTTTGTGGCTGGTGAGTTTACTGGCCTGGTGAGCTTGCTCATGGGCTGGCCGTGTCAGGAGCCTGCGGGTTCCAAAGCCCAGGGCATTGTGGGAAGACCTTGGAGGCCTGGGAACTAAGGACAGCCTGAACATAGCTGATTCAGTAGCACTGATGGCACTGCCATTAACTCTACTCCTCGCCAAGCCTCCTATTTCAACACTGTCTAATTCTTTAAAGCCCTTTCTTCTATTCTGAGCACACACATGGCCAATCAAGGCCAAGCTTCCAGAAGAGAGGGGAATCCTGGACCCAAACCCAGGCAAACAGAATGGGGTAATAACTGCAGCAACTCCCAGAGGCATTTTTTAAACATGTCAAACATTTATCCTGATTCACTTTCAAACTATGGATCAGCTGCCAAGGAAGCAGGAAGTTATACACTGCTTAAAGGTGGCAGATGAGAAAACTCTCTGAGTTTCAGAAGAGAGCCAGAAGGCCCTGTCCAGCAGACCCGCTGGACACTCAGCCTGGGTGAGGAGGGTGACCACAGTGTCTAGTTTATATTGACTCTGAACCTTGGCTTGCCCTTTGCCTATATCCCTGGCTCCTCTCATAAGAAGCACTCAAACTTCCTTCCACCTTAGGTTCCTGGTCCTACCTCTGTACAGACAGCCAAGTGTTAGGATAGCAAAAACGTCCCTGGCCCAGTCTCTGCTGATAATAGCCTGATCTCTCACCTGATAACTGAATCTCCTTCTGCCATCTTCCATGCTGATTACAACTGCCAGCTGCCAAGGGCTCCCTCTGACCCTGCTCTCCTCCTGATGTCCGGTACCCCACCGTACCACTCCCCACAGCTCACACATGGCATCTTGCTGCAGTGATACTGTAAATCAGCACAAACTCATCTGAACCATGTTCATTAAAAGATTGGACTTATGGAGTGAGAAGACCTTGTGCCTAGAAAAAAAATCATGTTTTAGTGAGGAAAAGAAAGCAAGACATAAAATTGTATAACACAGACTTAAGAAGTTATTTAGAGGAAATCACAAACCTTAATGTGTATGTGTCTAACAACAGAGCATCAAAATATGTGAAGTAAGACAGATAGAACTGCAAGGAGATGAGCCCACTATTACAGCCGGAGACTTCGGCCCCCCTCTATGGGAAATGGACCGAACCATCAGGCACAAAATCAGTGAGGATGCAGCTGAACTCAATAGCACCATCAATCAAGTGGCTATAATTGGCACCTATAGATTACTTCACCCAAGATCGGTGGAATGCGCATTCTTCTCAAGCTAACAGAGAACATTTAACAAGGTGGACTGCATTCTGTGCCATGCAACACAACCTAACAAATGTAAAAGAATAGAAATCATACAATGTTTGCTCTCAGACCACAGTGGAATTAAACTAGCAATCAGGAACAGAAAGATAGCTGGAAAATCCTAAAATAATTGATTATTAAGGAGGACATATCAAAATTACCCTGAAATACTTGAATACTAAGCAGTACACATCAAAGTAACACATGGTTCAGAGAAGAAATCACACAAAAATTTAAAAAATATTTTGAAGTAAATAAAAATAAAAATACAACTTATCAATATGTGGAATACAGCTAAATTAGTGCTGAGAGGGAAATGTATAGCCTTGAATGCATATTGATTCACTAGGGAATTCTACCAAATTTTTAAGAAAAAAATTATACCAATTCTCTAAAATTTATTCCAGAATATTGAAGCAAAGAAAATACTTTTTAACTTATTCTGTCATCCCAGCACTATGCTAATACCCAAACCAGACAAAGATATTACAGGAAAACTACAGCGTAATATCTCTATGAACATAGATGTAAACATCCTCAGTAAAATATTAGCAAATCAAATCCAAAAATGGGTAAAAAGAATTATATACAACCAAGAAGGATTTATTCCCAGTATGCAAGGCTCGTTCAATTAATGTAATTCATCACACCAACAGGCTAAGGGGTGGGGGATCACAAGATTTCATTGATAAATGCAGAAAAAGCATTTGACAAAACGCAACAGTCATTCATGATTTTAAAAAATTTCATAAATAGGAATAGAGGGAGGATTTCCTCAACTTGGTAAGAATATCTATAGAAAAACCTATAGCTAACTTAATCAACGGTGAGACACTACATGCTTTCTCACTAAGACCAGAAACAAGGCAGGTATATTTGCTCCCACCACTCCTTTTTATTATCATACTGCAAGTCATAGCTCATGCAATGAGACAAAAAAGGGATATAAAAGGTGTACAGATTGGGAGGAAATAAATAAAAGTGTCTGTTTGCAGATGACATGGTTGTCTATGTAGAAAAATCCTAAAATATTGACCAAAAAACCCTCCTGGAACTAATGGATGATTATAGCAAGTTTGCAGGATGCAAGTTTAATATACCAAAGTCTATTGTTTTCCTATATACCAGTAGCGAACAAGTTGAATTTGAAATTAAAAGCAAAATGTTATTTAAATGAGCACTCCATACTAACGAAATCCTTACAACCAGGAATGCTAACAAAATAGGAATGGGATCTCTGTGAGGAAAACCACAAAAAGCTGGTGAAAGAAATCAAAGAACTTAATAAATGGAGAAATAGTCCATATTCATGGGCAGAAAGACTTACTATAGTCAAAATGTCACTTCTTCCCAACTCGGATATAGGTTCAATGCCATCTCAATCAGAATCCCAGCAAGTTATTCTGTGGGTATAAAATGATTCTAAAGTTTATATGGGGAGGCAAAAGATCAAGAACAGCCACAAGAGAAGAACAGAGTTTAAGCACTGACACGACCTGACTTCAAGGCAGTGACTAGGACAGCGTGGTACCGGTGAAGGGACAGACATTTAGATCAATGGAACAAAATAGAGGGCCTGGAAACAAACCCACGGAAGGGTAGCCCGCTGATCTTTGACAAAGAGCAAAGGCAATACAATGGAGAAAATGCAGTCTTTTCAACAAACGCTGCTGCAACAATTGAACATTTACATGGAAAAAATGAATCTAGCAAGGACCTTATTCACAAAAATTAACTCAAAATGAAACATAAACTTAAATGTCAATGCGAAACTATTAAAACCCTAGAAAATGACAGAGGGAAAAATTTAGATGACCTTGGTTATGGCAATGACTTTTGAAATATAACACCAAAGGCATGATCCATGGAAGAAATAATTTACACGCTGGACTTCATTAAAATTAAAAACTTCTGTTCTGTAAAAGACTCCGTTAAGAGAATGAGAAGACAAGCCACAGAGTGGTATAAAATATTTTCGCAAGACATCTGATAAAAATTATTATCCAGAATATACAAAGAACTCTTAAACTCAACAAGAAGAAAATAAACAACCCATTTAAAATATGAGAAAATATCTAAACAGACACCTCACCAAAGAATATATACAAATGGGAAATGAGCACATGAAGACGCTAAACATCATATGTCATTAGGGAATTTCAAATTAAAAAATAATGAGATATCACTACATACTTATCAGAACAACACATATCCCATACTCTAACAATGCAAAATGCTGGTGAGGCTGCAGAGCCACTGGAACTCTCATTCACTGCTGGTGAGAATGCAAAATGTCACAGCCACTTCAGAAGACAGTTTGGCAGTTTCCTACAAAACTAAATATACTCTTACTAATCTTACTAATCAGGCAACTGTCTCCTAGGTATTTACCCAAATGAGTTGAAAATTTCTGTGCACACAAAAAACTGAACATGGACATTTATAACAGCTTGACTCATAATTGCCAAAACTAGAAGCAACCAACATGCCCTTCAGTTAATGAATGGACAAACTAATCCATCCAGACAATGGAATGTTATTCAACACTAAAAAGAAATAAGTTACCAAGCCATGAAAAGACATGGAGGAACCTTAAATGCACATTGCTAAATGAAAGAAATTAATTTGAAAAGGCTACACAATGTGTGATTCCAACTATACAACATGCTGGAAAAAGGCAAAACTATGGAGACGGTAAGAAGCTCAGGGTTTGGGGGAGGGAGGAATGAAAAGGGGGAGCAGAGAGGAGTTCTAGAGTGGTGAAGCGGTTCTGTATGACAGGTAATACCTATAGAATGTACAGTACCAAGAGTGAACCCTAATGTAAACTGTGGACTTAGAGCGATAATGGTGTCTCAGTGGAGGTTCAAGGATGGTATCACGTGTACATACCACTGTGACACAGGATGTCAGTAGTGGGGGAAGCTGTGTATATGTCGTGGTTGAGAGAATGTGGGAACTCTCTGTAACTTCTCAATTTTGCTATGAACCTAAAACTGCTCTAAAAAGTAAAGTCTAATCTATTTTGATGGCTTAGGTGCATTTTATTGGTTTTCTTTCAGAATCCTTCTACAAAAGAGCAAAGTTAAAATCCAAGTCCCTAGAAAGAGTGTGAGAACACTTTCCCTTTCCTCAGAGCCCTCCACCCTTCTTCCCACGTTCATGGAGATGGAGGGCTGGCTGCTTTCATCTCCCAATGAACCCCAAAAGGGGAAAGACCTACCTCCTAGCAAACCCTGCCCCTCAACCCCATCCCCCACAAGGTGACCCTGGCTACAGGAGAATGTGGTGGAAACTGTTGGGATCCCACATAAAGTCCATTTAAAAACAAACAAACAAGCAAACAAACAAAACCCCCTCAAACACTGAAAGGAGGAGGACACAGAATAGTATAGCAAAACATAAACATAGACTAGAGAAAAGGACATTAAAATGTCATTAGTGACTATCTCTGGATAGTGTAATCATTGTTTTTATTCTACATTTTATTTTGTCTTTCCAAATTTACTATAAAGAAGATGGATTATTCAGATAATAAAAACCAACCATATTTATTTTAAAATAAGAGAAAATTAAAGAGCAGGGACTTTGAACGCCAAACTAAAACTCCACTCCTTTCCAGCTATGTGACTCAGCAAGGTACTTAGTACCGTAAACCTGTTTCTGCATCTGTAAATGAAGACGTGTGTGTGAAGACAAAACTGTTAAGAAATACGAATGTGCAAGACACCTAGACGATGCTCGATATGGATTAATTTCTGAGCGCTAGGAGATGTTGCTGGCCTTTTGTTCATCCTTCTCCCTTTCCCATCAGGACATTCACGCTGAAGCAAAGGACCAGGCCTAGGGCAACCCGCCTCCACGTCCAGCAAGCCTCTTGATTTTGGAGGAGAGAAGGGACTTCCACCAAGGAAGCCATAGTAACCATTTCTACTTTGAAACCCCCCAGAAAGTGCAAAGCTCTGGAATTGGCTGATTTTTGTTCTTTTGCTCCCTCTGCCATCCCACAAACGCATTTCTGTGTTTTCTGCCCCAGCCTAGCGGAGAAGCCAAGGGTACACGTCACCAGAAAATAGCTGCAGGGCCAGGGTCTTTTTGACAGACAATGAGCAGACGGCTGCAAGCATGGGGCAGCCAGGAAGGTGCCCAGAGCCACAAGGAGGACGGGAATAAAGAACTCAGTCTCCCAACAAGCCTGGGCCAAATCAGGCATTATAGGGGGAGTCAGGAGCAGATAACAGACCGGCCCCCTCCCACTAAGAGTAGGGTATGGAATGTGAAAGGAAGTAAGCAGGATGTAATGAGGGACCTTGGTTCTTACTCACATTTGGTTGTACTCGAAGCATTCCTAGCATGGCGGGAGCAAAGCCTACTTGGGAAGCACTGTTGTTGTCCGAGGCCAGGGCAGGTAGAAGGCATGGGGGCGGTGCCCAGGGTGTCACTGACGGCTGAGGGCTCAGGAGAGCATTCCAGCCTGGAGATGAGTGAAGGCAGAAGGTCAGCGATGACTCGGTAGAAGACTAAAGGACCGCTTGTTTCACACCTGTGAAGATGTGAGATAAAATAAAATAAAATAAAGGACAACTTTCAATGCTACGTTGGTCCTACTGCTGGAATAAATCAGTTGTCAGATTTCCATTAAAGACAAGTCCTCGTACTCTAAGCTTTAATGTTAGAACACTTGCCTATTCTGTTTTACCTTTCTGATTTTCATGGTCAGGATAGGAGTTTAAAAGCCAAGAAAATCTGAGTCAAATTTGCCAGTGGTGGTCCTATGACTGGGGCTGACCTTGACAGGAGTGTAGCAACAGATGACAACAAAAGCCTATAGGCATCTTTTAACCATAAACTTGACTCCCTTGTCTCTGTCATCTTACCTGCCTTCAGCCAAATTTCCTATTGTCCCTCAGACCTTTCCTGTGCTTTTGGGTACAAGCCATTTCCGGGAGTGGACAGGGAGGAGGATGGTACAGCTGCACTCTCAGCATCACCCACACACACTCACTGACCACCTGAGAGTAAAAAGAGGTAAGCAACACTTTTCTGCTTTCAATGACCTTAGACTGCTCTCCTGGGAAATGCAAGAATCCTTAGCCCTGGCTGTGTGGCTCAGTTGATCAGAGCGTTGTTCCACGCACCAGAAGTTTGTCAGGGCACACGCCTAGGTTGCAGGTTCAATTCACTGTTGGGGGACCTGTGGGGGTGGCAATAGATCACTGATGTTTGTCTCTCACGCCAATGTTTTTTCTCTCTCTCAGATCAATGAATGTATTCTTGGGTGAGACTTCAAAAAAATTTAAAGTGGTACCAGGCAGATGAATACCTACCTGCCTAAGAGAAGCTAACACAGATTCAAATTCTCTTTGTAGACGGGCATGTTCATCTTAGGCCATAGAACATCTTCACAAATAATGTTTTAGGACAGTGAGTAGCATATAATTAAAAATATCCAAGCATCAAGGAAACCAACAGAAGAACATGTAGACTTTTGATTACTGAATTAGTATTTGTAAGTTATAAAACATCCATGCTAATAAATGGTGATGGAAGGAGACCTGACTTGGGGTGGTGAGCACACAAAACAATATACAGATGATGTAATGCAAAACTGTACACCTGAAACCTATACAATTTTATTAACTAATAAATTCAATTAAAAAGTTTTTTTTAAAAATCCATGCTTAGTGTTTAAATATATTAGAAATATCCGCAGGGAATGGTAAACTTTAAAAAGTATCACTGGATTTAAAAAATAACAAAGTTTAAGTTTTAATCAAAATTAAAAACCCAGGGGATAGATTAGACACAATTAAAGAGTCAATGAAAGAGCAAAATAAATTTTTCTGAATGCAACACAGAACCCAAAAGATGGAAAATGTGAAACAGGGGTTGAGACATGCAAGATAACACAGAAGAGAGATTCCAGATGGATGGGGGAAGAATTGGGCAAAGACATAAGAACCACACATTTTCAAAACTGCTCCCAATACTTACCCAGAGATTCAAGAAACCCATCAAACTCCAAACGGGCTATGTAAAACATACTCAGATATATCACAGTGAAACTGCAGAAAACTAAAGATAAAGAGAAAAGTCTTAAAAGCAGCCAGAGAAAGCAAGAGAAGGTTGCCCTTAAAGGAGCAGCAGCTAGCCTGACAGCAAAGAAAGGAAGCCAGAAAAGCAGTGATAACTCTTCAGTGTGCTGAAAAATCACTCGCCAACCCAGAAGTGTATATGCAGTGAAAAAATTTTTTTCAAGAATAGGACAGGACAACATAAATAAATATTCCAGAGAAATAAAAATTGTTAGTTCATCACTAACCAAAGCTCCTAAAGAAAATACTAAAGGGTATATTTTACCTTAGGCAGAAAAACAGTGATCCTATTGGAATGTTTGAGATACAAAAAGAGTGAAGAGTAAAGAAAGGGGCCAATGCAAATGAACACTGACAATACAGAGTGGCGATTAATAATATTTGATTGTGTTTTAACAGTTGAATTAAAATATATGATAAAATGAACTTACAAGTAGGTAAGGAGGAATGGAATGTAGGCATTCTAAAGCCTTCATATTGCCTGAGAGGAGGGTAAAAAGTACTGCTTAACCTATTGCAAGACTTCTGTAGGTTAGAAGCGCAGGTTGGAAATTCTGGAGTAACCACGAGAAGAATAGAAACAGTGAGTATAACCGCCAAATTGGTGTGTGTGTGTTGGGGGAGTAGATGGAATAATTTAAAACTCTCAGTTAAACCGAAGGGACACAACAGGATGAGCGTCTGGGGTTACTCCATTTCCACCTACTTTTAGTTTGCTGGAGACGTGGAAAGAGAAGACTCATGATTCTGCCGTGGGCCACAGCTGCACCATCCGGTAGACCACGGAGAGCAGAGACCTCTGACTCACACTGCACTAACCTGATTCTCTCTCCCAGAGTTGAAAACAGAAAGAGAAATGGCTGCAGCCTCTGAGAGCAACAGCCCAGAAGAAATATCCTTGAGCTCAGTCCCTGAAGCTCGGTATCCTTCAGCCGTCCCTGAAGAAGGCCTGGCTCCCGCCCCACTGTCCTTCCCAAGACCTAGCTGGTCTGTGAGCTCTGCCACATGCTTCCAATACAGTCTATCACCAGTCCCTTCCCCTGAATCTTTTTTTTTGCCCTTGCTTAATCAGCCTTGATTTCCTTGAAACAAAAGAAATTTAACTGATGCCAAGAATCACTGCGGCAGATGCCAGATGTATCTCCACTCTCTTACACAAAAATCCAAATGTTTGGCATGAATGGTAAAGTTGTCTTCTTAGCAACAACTTAACCTGAAATGCAGCTGGATTCTTTAACTACTATCAAATATGCAAGATAAGGATGCCCAAGATGTAGCCCATATGGGGATGGCTCCTGTGGGAGGCCTTGGCTCTTACTTTATACTCCCTCAAAGGCCGTGCTCGCTCCTTTGTCATATCCTCCAAAACACATCCAAACCCACAACACATGAAGGAGAAAAACCGATGTTTTACTGAAGATTCTTTGGAGTCTGTGAAAGAGGGTTCACATCCCATACACATCACCAAGCAGAAACGTAATTCATTACCTTACAGGCACAATAGGCTGTTCCTAAAGAGTCACTGAATGGATTTCGCACAATTTCGTATAGTTCATAGAGCCTAAAAAAAGTGCATCACATGGAAACATGTGCTTACCCATTGGTCCTTGGAGAGAGATGGCTGCGACATCACCATTCAGGGGCCTGTAGGAGGACTAAAGGTTGTGGTACTGGACTAGTACTACAATGGATTCAAAGTTGGAAGCCATCAAACTAACAATGGGTGTACAACAGAATAGAGCTGTACAGCTCAATTTATCCACTGATTAAAGTGAGAAGCTTTAGTGCTTTATGTGAAGGGTATGGGCATATGGAAAAGAACCTGGGGTAGAGAAGAGGGGTCTCTGTTTCCTCTTCAAGGATGGTGCAAAAATAGATAAACCGAAGGAAGAACTCCATTTCTATGGACATACATCTAAAGCAAAAGCACTATTGGCCTAAAAGTAAAATTTGGACAGTGTCCATCCAAGCCCCAAATATCTCATTTAAGTGGAATTACCAGATAGAATACAGAATATGTGATGAACTTTGAGTTTCAGATAAACTACAAATAATTTTTTTAGTATATATGTGTCCTAAGCATTGCATGGGGGCATTTTTACTCTAAAAAAAGTCATTATTTATCTCAAATTTAAGTTTTACTGGGTGTCTTATATTTTTCTTTGCTAAATTTGAAAATTCCAAACCTATGGAAATAAATATTTGGTTTATGGTCTAGATATTTGACCTTGTATCATCCAAATAAATCAATCTCCTCTTCATATAGATGTTTGGCTATTGTGTAAAGCAGTGATTTTCAATCAGTGCATTGCAAGAATTTTTAAAGCATGCAATATCTATTTAGTCAGGGGCACTGACCTCCTTTCCCTTAGACTGTTAAATAAAAAAATGGCAACAAAGACTTCCACCAAGATGGAGGCGTAGGTGGAAGCACTGTCCCTTCTTCTCACACAACCAAGTGTAAAAACAATAAAGTTTTAGCAACAAAAACACAGCCAAACCACAGAAAATTGAACTATTTGGAATTCAGACAACAATGAACCCTTCAGCCAAACCGGTAAGAGGGGCAGAGCCAGTAGCAGAGCGGGGTTGGGCAAGAAAGATCCACTGGACCCACCCGGGGCATGTGACGCACCCAGGTGCACCAGCAGCCATGGGTGGATCCCAGGTGTGGAGCAGCGGGCGGACCCACTGAGGGCTGATCTCGGTCACACATTCGCACGCAGATAAACCGGTGAAGGAGCGAGTGGTAAGGCGGACTGTGCAGGCCCCAGTGGCGAGAAGCGGCAGAGGGAACTGCCATTGTCCCTCTCTGACCCCGCTCCCATATGCAGCGTTACAAACCAGCGACCTGGGTGGCTCCCGCCCTGGTGAACACCTAAGCTCCGCTCCTCATATGTAACAGGCATAAACAGAGCAAGACATGGCTCAAGAACAACTCAGAGCCCCAGAGCCGATAAATCTAAGTGATGAAGAAATAGCCAAACTTTCAGATGCACAGTTCAAAACACTGGTTTATCAGGATCCTCACAGAACTGGTTGATTTTAGTCACAAATTAGAGGAACATATGGAAGCTAAACTAATTGAAGTGAATGGAAATACACAGGAAACCAATAGGAAAGGAAAGGAAACTGGGACTCAAATAAAAGGAGTGGACCAGAAGGAGAAAAAAAATGACCAAACAGAAGAGGATGAAGAAACAAAAATTCAAAAAAAGGAGGAGAGGCTTAGGAACCTCCAGGACACTTTAAACGTTCCAACATTCAAATTATAGGGGTACCAGAAGGGGAAGAGGAACAGCCATGAGTGGAAAACTTATTTGAACAAATAATAAAGGAGAACTTCCCCAATCTGGCAAAGGAAATAGACTTCCAGGAAATCCAGAAAGCTCAGAGAGTCCCAAAGAAGTTGGACCCAAGAAGGAACACACCAAGGCACATCATAATTATATTAGCCAAGATTAAAATGAAGAAGAGAATTCTAGAAGCAGCAAGAGATAAGGGGACAGTCACCTACAAAGGACTTCCCATCAGACTGTCAGCAGATTTCTCAAAAGAGACCTTACAGGCAAGAAGGGGCTGGAAAGAAGTATTCCAAGTCATGAAATCCAAAGACCTACAGCCAAGATTGATCTGTCCAGCAAGGCTTTCATTTAGAATGGAAGGACAAATAAAGTGCTTCTCAGATAAGATCAAATTCAAGGAGTTCATCATCACCAAGCCCTTATTATATGAAATGTTTAAGGGACCTATCTAAGAAAAAGAAGATAAAAAGTATGAACAGTGAAAGGAGAGCAAACTCACAGTTATTAAGAACTACACCTAAAACAAAAACAAACTAAGAGGACAGCTAGATCAGGAGCAGAACCATAGAAATGAAGATCACATGGAGAAGATCACATAGCAACAGGGGAGTGGAAGAAGGAGAAGGGG